CCTTTTCTTCCTCAGGGATTCGACCAAAAAGGTCCCCCCTTTGGTACTTTTAAGAAATCCAGTTTTGGGCGACCAACCTTTAAATTTTTCTTAAGGCGCCGTTGGCGCCAAGATATACTAATTTTTAGGGGGGAGCGCGCTCTGAAAAAAAGCAATTTTTCGGTCAAAATTTTCCAAAAAGTGCCTAAAAACGCCTTTTTTGGCCTATTTTTTCAAAATTTTGTCTGCGGCGCAGAAAGTTTGGCAAAAATTTTTTCAAAATTTTGTCTGCGGCGCAGAAAGTTTGGCAAAAATAGGTACAAAACAGTGCTTTGGGAGAGCTCGAAAAATCAATTTGGTCGACCTAAAAAAAGGTCGACAAAAATCCGCCCTCCCCCCCATTTACAGTTATTTTTTTTACTGTAAAATCATTAAATTGTTCAGCGAATATTTTAAATTCGAAGATTTTATTTGATTTGGACCTTTTCAGTGTTTATAAGACCGATTTTAATCTTAAAAACTTTGCAGGGTACTGTCATTGATCAAATTATTCCGTTTTACGAGCTAAGGAAACTTTCTGCTATTATTTTTCATAATTGGTTTAACTTTGACCTCCCTTTGATTATGCCTAATGTTTGCATCTGTAGAGGAGTGCAACGAGACCGAGGATCTGCCCATGGACGATGTGACCTTGAACTTCTTCCGACCCCATCACGTGATAGTGGAAAAAGGGGCATTTGGAGAGAGGTGCCCACAGAGGTAAAAGGAGGAATCTTCAGTCTCAGTCTTATCATTTCGCCACTTTTTCAGTCTAGTGCTATCGAAAAGGGTAGCCGAAAACGTCCATTGACAAACCCCGATTTTTTCAAAAATATCCAAAAAGTAAACATATATTCCCTTTTGGCCTATGTTTTTTTTCTTTTTTTACACTCCTTTCTACATATAAAAACGTTTGTTTCTAAAGCTTGAAATTAAATTATTATGTACAAAATGTTAATTTTGCTTGTTTCGTTTTCAGCAAAGCCTTCGGTGGATCCATGATGGGCGAGAGTATGGTACGTGCGTGGGGTCAAAACGGAACAGCCAGATGTGAAGTCAACCCATACGAGAAAAACTCAAACCATCACGATGCAGTTTGTGCCATGTGTCGGATCAACTCGCGAAACGGAACTGCCGAAATGGCTAACCCCGACTGCATAGACTATGACATCAAAAATAGAATGGACAGTGGATCCATAGCAGTTAAGGCCATACAGGAGATTGTGAAGCTCTATCTTCTGTTCATGCTCGCTTCAGTGATTTGTTATAATAACTAGTTTAGAGATAATAAAATCAGTAGTATATTTTTGACTTTAAAAAATCGGACGCATTGTGATAACTGCAACTTAGATGACATAGACTTTGAAACTTTTTGTTTGTGCCAGATTTTCTTATTATACTGACGTTACTAAAATAGAAGCCTTAACTACCGTACTTAAATTTATACTTAATGAAACCAATAGAAATAGAATTTAAATTATTGCTTTTCGTTTTAATTTTGATTGAGCTAAAGCAAATTGATGAAATAAAATTTTTTAGAAAAATGGTCAGTACTAGCGCGACTATTGGACGACCTTGACCCATCATCCTCAGGATTGAGGCAAAACCCATCTCCATGTTGCTCCCCTATGCCATGTCCGCATTTTTAGCACAGACATTTACTGTTAAATAGTTCATGATAAAGCAAAACCCAGCCAATTACTTGAATTAATCTAACACATTCACTTACTCACAGGGCAGTTGACCCAAAAATTTAAATCTCTCAAAACAAACTCAGAAGCGAACTCTATTCACTGCACAAATAACGCATCTGCATTAACTACACCAATATATCTGCATATTCTTGTAAATAGTTGACAAGGGTCATAACTTTCACATTTGATTAAAAAACTTAACCCTTGTTCTCCCCTAATTCTAAAATATAGCATCCAACTAGTTTCCAACGCACAAAGTTTGCAATCAAATGTATACAAAATATACCTAAAATTAAAAACTGAAGTAAAGAGAGGTTTTTAAAGTAAAAATTCATTTAATGCGAAAATCAAGCGTTTATTGCTGCACTTGTTTGCAGTTTTGTACCATAAGTTTCGCCATATTTTCATTCACTCCGTGATGTTTCATAGCATGCACCTTCAAATAGTCTTTTCTGCACGCATAATCACACATTTCGCACTTGAAGCTTATTTTGTTGTGCACGTTTGTGAAATGTCGATCAGCACTAGCTTGTGCCGTGAACGACTTGTTGCAAATCGGGCAAATCAAATTTCCGTTTGCGTCTTTTCCGAAGATAACTGCACCTTGTGTTTTAATAACTGGACTAAGGTTGGAATGGACCGGAACTGAACTTTTTGATTTCTTTGGACTTTTACTCCCCACAGATGCTGATGGCTGTGTAGACAGTACAACTGCACGTTTCCGGTCGTTGAATGATTTCTGGAAACCATCTGATGATGATTGAAATTGATTTTTTGGATCAATTTTGAACTCGCTTTTGAAGTTCACCCGTCCAAAATTTATCTCTGTTTCCAAGTCAATCAGTGCCAGTGATAAGTGTTCGGTAGATTCATTCAAAATTGAGTCGATGAAAAAATCAGCTAGTGCAAAAGACGCGGTAACACAATCCATTCAGACTTCTGAAATACACCGTAATTAGATCAATCAATCGCTAATACTTAAAATTTTGGGTTCCAACAAAAATAAGTTTTCTTTAAATATATCTTTAAAATAGTTCTTTAAGGAAGCTAGAAAAGCTATTAACGATTGCTTACATTCGGTTCGGAAACTGGAGAAAATTCAGGGGGAGGGACAGGTAGACATCCTCACCACCTATAAGATCCCGGCATTGGGAAAACTAATATTGCAACCAATTATAATCGACTTCATGTCGGAACAATAAAATCCGTTATGTATTGCTTTAGAATTGGTTGAACTTGAGATCAACTTGCGGTAAACTATCTTGTTTTTGCCAATGCGGTTCTCCATTTTGATTTTATTGACCGTTCTCGAATCTATCTTGAGTAGCCAACTAAACATAACTGATTAAAAAATTTAAAGCTGATAAAACTAAACTTCTAATTGTTACAAAAAGGATAATCAAATTCAGTCAGAAATAATTTTTGGCAATTAAAAAAATTCACATTGACGTTAGAATTAAAAATTGAAACGGTTTTCGTCTGAACCATGGCCAACCTACGAACACCTGTGAAAGTGGGCATTCAACCTAAAACCGGCAAATTTATAGAGCCAGACCATCTTTTTGGACGGTGATATTTAACTCAAGTCTCATAAAAAGAACTTTTCTATACCTTGTTCGTCGACTGGAACAGGGTGAGTCAAAACCGACCCAAAAAATCTAATGGAAACAGTTAAGTAAGCAAAAAGACCTACTCAAATCTCTTTAAAAAACTGGGAGTCATCAACCGGGAAACAAAAAAGGACCACTATGGGCTACATTTGCCAAAAACCTTGAAAAATAGCCTTTTTGGTAATATTATGATGATATTACTTTGATTTCTGTTTCGGCTATATTAACTTTTTCTTTTTTTTTTTCATTATAATTTATTCAATTTGAAAAATTCTTTAATTACATAATCTTTTTTGTTCTGTATGGATTGCTAGACAAACATTTTCCTGAATAGGAAGTTCATTTCGTTTTATATCAATATAAATGCACGCAACAGAATTTTCTTGAAGCTGCCTTATCTTGTGCTATCTGATCTACATCCTTTACAACCCCGGCAAAAATTTTCATTATGAAAACTTGAAACTGAAAATAGTTTTCAGGTCACTTACCTCAAAACACACACACACACACTCAACAGAAAATTGTTCGCTCATCTGACGCAGAGGCTACAAAGCCGAGATAACTAAGCTGAAATCTTTGAAGCCAATTATTTTTTTTTAATTAATAAAATTTCAACAAAATTTTGTTGGGAAATTTACAATCTGCAAAAAACAAACATAATGGTATTTGAATTGCAGACATGCTAAAAAATTTTCTGTTGATTGATAAAAATACAGATGGGAAGATCAACTAAAATTGAAGATCCTGTGAACAAGGTTATTTACGGGAAAAATTCTAGTACACGGTCGCAATACCCCTGCTTATCGCAAGGGTTGACAAAGGTCAAAAAGCAGTAATTAAGCTGTGAAGAATAAAAACTATAAGCAGGCTACAGGACTGGAATCACGAATCTCCAGATTATTGTAAAGACATAGTAACTTGGAAATTTAAAACAAACAATTAACTATCTATGATTTCTCCCATTTAGTTTTTGCTGTTCATCTCTGAACTTGTTTACAGTTCAACATCATAAACTTTACCATATTTTCATTCATTCCGTGACTTTTCATAGCATGTACTTTCAAATAGTCTTTTCTGCACGCATAATCGCACAGTTCGCACTTGTAGCTGATCTTGTTGTGCACACTTGTGAAATGCCTGTTAGCATTCAATTGTAACGTGAAGCTCTTTTTGCAAATAGGACAGATCAGATTTCCTTGTTCATCTTTACCAAATGTTACTGAACCCTGAGTCTTGAGAACTGGCTGACGATTTCCATCATAACTTACAGAAACTTGTTCAACTCGAGTTTTCTTCGGAGCGATGTTGAAAGTTGTGCGAAATGAGCTGGAATTAATTATTGGTTTTGAGCGCTTTCCTGTTTTGATTGGATTTTGATCCTGCGCAAGAAGATCATTTTCAGCGGAATCCGGCCCCAAATAGATGGCACCAAATATAGTTTGCATTTCTGGATCACAAAGAATCAGTTTCAGTTCGTGATTCATTTCTTTGTTGAACGGAATGTTTTTAAGAACCTCTTCATTGAGGTGAACCGAAACCTTTATAGAGTCCATTTTTAAACATCTGGAAGTCATACTCACATTTTTATTGTTTTAACTCTATACAAGGGATTCTTCGGACCAAGTGAACAATCTCCTCACCAATTTATTATTAAGTGGAAATCATTCATTTGGTTAAAAGTAATAATTTCCAGTCAATCAGATTTGAGTATAAAATATGCAGGCTTGACTGCGTGAATTTGCCATTCAAGTTTAGGAGGGAAATTCTCGAAAGTTTTGGAAACAAAAGCGATAAAATTTTACATATACTAAATATGAAAATCCAAAATGAAACTCCAGACTAATCATAAATGACTCAAAATCAACTTATCCAGACAACATAATAACAAACAAAAAAATTAAGATACATTCAAATCGGGCTAAAACTAACGAGGAAAGAGAGAAACTCAAAACATTCGAGAGATTTTTGCTCTTGATATTTTCCATGTCAAAATTGGTTCAACATTGCATTGGCCATGATTTCGTTCAAACTATGTTTCTGTATAGCATGTCTCTTCAGACTATCCTTACGATTGAACTTTTGTGCGCACATTTGACAACTGAATTCAATTCCCAAATGATTCCTGGAGTAATGTTTTTTCGCTAATTTTTGGTATGCAAATGATTTGCAGCACCCGAGAACAGGACAAACAGAAAACCCGTTGATGTCTCGCCCGAAAGTCACAGCTCCTAAGGATCCCGCTTGGACTAGATGAGGCGATGTTTGCTGGGAGTTTGGAGTCCTAGGAACCGAGGGTTTGAGGTGTTTCGCCTAAAATTAAATTTGTTTATGGTTTTTTTGCCATTTCAAATACTTTATTTGACGGTGACCTCACTTTTCAATGAAAACAATTAACTTGATTCTTAAATCGCTGTCAGAGCAGAAGATAAACAGAATATACAAAATCACTTAGTTATAAACTGAGCTACAAAACGAAAAAAAAATTGAACAAATGAATCTGAATCATTTCTGACAAACACAGCAATTAAAGCTTTGAATGAGAAAAAAACATATATTCCACTATTTTATTCTGCTCACTTGAATGATATTTTTGGACGAGTCGTCTATCGGTTTCCTTTTGATAGCCTTTGTAAGGTTCACGCTGGTAGTTTCTGCAACGAATTGGCCCAATTCAAAAATGTCATTTTCCTCTAGTTTACAGAGAGAATAAACACATTTTTCACGCATCGTGCTCAGCCGTTGCACTTCATCTCCTAACAAGTTCAAAGTGAACATGACAGCAGCAGTCATTTTTGGAAAAAGCCAAATCTGAAAAACTAGCCAGAAACTTCAGTCAAAGTGTATATTAAATAATCAAAACTCAGCTCGTTTAATTTTACACACGGATCGACGCAACTGAAACACTTTCTAAAATAGGTTTAAGACTTTAGTCGACTAAAAGATCATTGACACCAAACTTTTCGGCAAAGTTGACGATCATAACTAAAAACACTCTGATTGATATGGAACAAAGTCCCAAAAAAGACTTAGAAACTTAAATTCGGGGACAAAACCTTAGAATACAAAAATAAGAGTATAACTATAAGTTTTAAAACACAAAATGAAACCAATGTAAATGGAAAATTTGCCAAGAAACTAAAATAACAAATCTAAAAGGACAAGGAATGAAAATCAACGTATGCTCCCCTCAAATTGAAATCTTTTACTCTAGACACTTTCAAACTCAATCAAGATTGATACAGCATTGCGTTGGCCATGATTTCATTCAAATTATGTTTCTGCATAGCATGTCTCTTCAAGTTATCCTTTCGGTTGAACTTTTGTTCGCATATCTGACATTTGAATTCGATTCCTGAATGATTCGTAGAATAATGACGCTTCGCTCCTCCGTGTTCCCCGAAAGCTTTGGAGCAACCAGGAATAGGACATACGAAGTATCCGTTGACGTCTCTTCCGAAAGTAACTGCGCCTAAGGATCCCGACTGAACTAGTTGAGGCGAGGGTTCCTGAGTGTTGCTAGTTTTAGGAATAGGGGGTATGAATTGTTTAGGCTAAAACAACACAAATTAGTTCAAAGCAAATGGTGTTATTTTAGAAGCCTGCTGCAAAAAGTTAAAAATTTTCTTTAGCAAAAAACACTGGGTAATTGAACTAACACATCTAACATTGATAGTAAAACAGCGCCAAACCGTTTTTTACTCAATCTATCCAAAAATATTCTTAGTTAAGAAGGCTACCGCAAAAACAAATCAGCCAACCTAATTGTCCACGGCATCAAATAGATAAGAACTTCAAATCGACTCACTTGAATACCCATTTTGGACGGGCTTTCTTTTAACTTTCGTTTTACAGCGGCTTTATTATTCATACTGGTATTTTCTGCGATGAGCTGACCCAATTCGAAACAACCCGAGATGTCATTTTGATCTAATGTACACACTGAATAAACACACTTTTCACTCATTGTGCTCAGTCGTTGCACTTCATCTCCCGACAAGTTCAAAGTGAACATAACAGCAGCAGCAGTCATTTTTGGATAAAGCCAAATCTGAAAAACTATTCAGAAACTTCAGAAACACAAGTCTTATATATTAATTTAAGCAAAACTCAGTTCGTTTAGATTTCTATGCCAATCACTGCAACTGAAACTCATTTCAAAATAGCTCATCAAATTAGACTACTAGTGAATTAAAGCGATATTGTACCAAAAATGGCAGAAAAATTTTCCATAATAAATAAAAAACACTATGATTGAAGTAGAAAGAAAAAAGAAACAAAGCTACACAAAAAATTCGTTGCTAGCGCAAACATTCGAGAGTGCAGGCATCCCACTTTACATGAACGTTACGTAAAAATCTAGAAAAATTTCATTGAACCGGTTTCTATGCTATAAAACAAGTGCCTATCAATTGCCATGTGTGGCTATAAGCAAACAAAACACAACACTAAGCGGAACCCATCGCCCTGCTTTATACCTGACGCAGATTAGGGAACTCGCTGTTCGACCAGATCACGATGCAAAAGGTACTCTTTCGATACTATTTTACGACTTATCGATCCCAAAATTTTTAAAGGCTCCTTTTGTGCCAAAACACTAGGACCAGAACAAGACTGTTATATTTCGTCAACGCTTTCCAGAAAATAAACCCAAGAATCTTCAAATTTGGGACCTGTTTTCAAGAATGCAAAAACCTAACTATTGAGTTATTGTTCTATGTTAAAATCCCATTCTTATTATTTTAGTTGCATTGCGAAAAGTCTGATTTAAAAAACTTTTGAACTCGACAACAAAAGCCGCTCGTTCGAAAAAACTGAAAACTAAGAAATTAGGAAACCTAACAAAAGTTGTTAGACAAATTGATTGCGTTGAAAAAAAATTAGCAAAAGTATCAGTTAGTAAGAATTTCTCACTGAGGAAAACAAGCCCCTGTATAGAATAAACTTGACCTGTTTACGACGTTGCAGTTAAACATTCAATTCTTCTTCCTGATAGCTCTAAGCAAAAGAAAAGGATTCCATTTCTCTGACTGAAAACTTTAATCTACACCTAATCACTCGAAGTTTGAAATGAAACACGGTGCACTTTGGCTCCAAATTCATTTTTTCTCCAAACTAATGCAAATTAATTTTACACTACTACACTCGATACTTGAAAATTAAAAATTCAATAGAAATCATCAAAATCAATTGTCATTTTAGCATTGCAGTAGCCATTTCGTCATTAAGCTTATGAACTTGTACCGCATGTCGCTTCAAGTTTTCCTTTCGATTGTAAGTTTGTTCACACATTTTACATCTGTACTCAATTCCTGAATGATTAGTCTTGAAATGTTTCTGCGCAGATGCATATACCCCGAACACTTTGGAACACCCCGGGAATGGACATATGAAGTTTCCATTCATGTCTCGACCGAAGATCACTGACCCTAAAGAGCCCATATGGCTAATTTCAGTTGAAGTGGGTTTTAGGGCCGCCGACATCTTAGGAGCCACAGATTTGGGCGCATTGAAAGGTCTAACCTTGAGCACAAAAATCACAACTCTTCGAAACCAAAAAGCTCTGAGATATTGATATAAATTACATACCCGCCATTACATGATGGCCTGTCACTCAAAGCGGGTACTCATAGAAGAACACAAGGAATTCAAATTGAATCAAAGACCACTTTCAAAACCATTAAGGCGCAAACGGATCTACTCAATCTTGAGGTTAAAAAAAAACATTTTCTAGCAACATCAGCATAATCATACAATTTATGTTTCAGCCATAAATTCTTATATGATCTCCCGACCTTTCTGTAAAGTAAGAAATTTGTTATGGTGAAAAGGACTAAATTTAGGATGAGAGATATTTGACAGTGAGAGTATTTACCTCTTTACATGTTTGTTGGGATATTGTTAACTAATACCCTCCCCTAGAGTATCTAGTTAAAAGTTTCCACCCTATAATAGACCTATTCAACGGTTCAGCACACATGATCTTCGTGTCTGGCAGCAAAATTTCGCTCCTTTTGCAAGGAGAGGAGGGAGAGGGAAACAGTTAACAATATCCTATTTTTTACTTGATAAGATGAGAACTAAGCACCTTCTTTAAATTAGCCGAAACTTCTTGTTGAGCTTTCCTTTTTAGATTACTGACAAAATTGTCTTCATAAATCACTTTCGCAACTAGTTGACCCACTTCATTTTCAGAAAACGTCTTTTCTTTTCTGTCATTTCGCCGTAAAGAATACACCTGATCAGCGGTCATTCCAGTCAAATATAAAATTTCATCAGCGCCAAAGCTCAATAGAAATGAAACAGACCCCATTTTTTGTCTAAAATGCTTGATCTCAAAATAAAAAGAAGGCTGAGGTAAAATGCAAAACAATCGCTAGTAAAAACAAGGAGAGCAGATTGTTGTGCAAGTCGCCCAGAAAATTCAGACAAAATAAAAAATGACTAAACAGTTTCTTTTTTCAAATCGTGACTTTTTTTCTTTATCGTAAAAAGAACAAAAACGACACAATTTTTCAGTTTTTTTGCAGAACAATTTTTTGAAGCGATTTTTGTTATTTTCCAACAGGTTTTTTTTTCGTCAAGGATCGTTTTTAGACTCTTTAAAATTTCATTTGAATTACAACTGAAAGCTTTAACATGATATATCATTGAACCCATTCCAAGTAATTGTAGTACCTGTTTTTGCGTAGCAAAAATGCGTTTAAAATGAAACACATCCGACGACAAAGATCTTGCCCACTTTCAGTGGCCGGAACAATTACTGATAATAAAAATTTAGGTACAAAATAAAGTTAAATTTCCTTGAATGCAACGGTCTAAATCCTAGATTTTACAGCATAGTCTATGTGCATTGATAAAAACTGTGATGAAACTGTCTACCAATCATGAATTGATGGAAGCTACTGCAACACAATACGATACAGCACATATTTCTTCATTCTTTTCAAGACCAAGGACGGACTTAGAGGAGGGATTTGAACCCCAGAACAGCCAAAGAGTATCCACTTTGGTAATATTTTACTACATTAATTTAACGATGGCGCCAATACAACCAATATTTGAAAGAGCTCGCGGCAATTTTATTGTTTTTTTTTTTCAATTTCAGCGACAATTGTTGCTATTTTTCTACAATTTTCTTGTGGCGCAGAAAAATTTAGAAAAATAGTAATAAACTAATATAATTCTATGGGTCTTTATGTACAAGGTATGTACATAAGCTTAAATGTTAAAACGTTAAAAGGAAGTAGTTGAATTAAGAACGTTAAAAAGGACAACTGAACTTCCGTTCATATCGACCGATGGTCGTAACTAAACTGGTATTAATTAAAATACCGAAGGTCATTATAACATACTAAAAACAAATCACAACATTTCCCACCGGGAAAAAAAATGAAACTGCAAACTAACTATATAACTCTATATACACCCTTTTTCACCCTCAGAAAATGGAAGAATTTTACAAACTGCGCCCAGAGGGTAAATATACAGCAGCAAAATAAAATCCACAATTGAAAGAGAATGTAGCAATGTACAGGGTGTCTATACAGATTACAATTTTTACAGAATACGGTAACTAACTAAATAAAACTAATCCACAACATGTACATTAACATGTACAATTGTATCTACAGGTAAAATTAAAAAGTCCGGCGGAAAATATGGATTACAGAATTGTTTTGTTAAGTTTGAATTGATATGTCGATTACAAGAATTGGTCCTCAAACTCATCCAATTTAGCTCTTACTTCTGAATCTATAGTTGATGAGATCTTACTATAGTTGTCCATCTCTAATGAGGGGTCCTTTGAGGTCGGGTAAGTTAAGTTTGAGTCCGAAGAATTCTCGTGGAGGTGAGTCTTCGTGGTTGAAGTTGCAAGTCTGACCGTCGGGAGGGAGTTCCTTGAAGACCATGACAACGTAGTTTCTGCGACTAGGATCTGTCTGGAAGGCGCCTCCGCTAATGGAGTCAAAAGGTCAGAATGAGAGTTGAACGCGAAAGTAGAACTGTGAAATTCCTGTGCCTAAGAGAATACAGTAGTTGGCGCCCCTAGGTCGTCTTTCTCTTGCACCACGTCTATAAATCTCCGATTTCCGTAAAACTGTGGGGGGCCCACATTTCTGCGTGGCCTAGAATTTCGGGCCTTTGGAGTCACGCTGGTCGTCTGTTCCGGAATACTGTCTATCATAATTGGGTTGTCCTGTGATCCTTCAGTAGTATTCGCGTCGTGTATGACCACAATCTCTCGTGGGTCGTTGTTCGCTGTCCATTCTGAGCTCAATAGTGGGGATTCGACATGACCTGTAATACTTAAGCCCTGCTTAGACTCGGTATGGGGGTTTTGAGGTACGTTATTATTGGTCACATCGTCAAAGTAATCCTCGATTATCCCGTCCCACGAATTTAGATTTAAGGAAGATGAACCTGAAGAAAATCTTGGAGAGTCTTGAGTGGCCGAGCTCGCGGTCGGTGCGCTAGTCCCTGCTCTGATAATCTCCGTTCTCGGGGTGCCTTGTCTCGAGTGGCCGGCTGTTGTCGATCCAGCTTTCTTCGGTGGAGAGAGTTTCCTTTTCCCAGCTAAACTCGAATGAGTATGAATATTATGCCCAGTGGGTGTCTGATTCACTATTATCTTTTTGGGCCCTGGGAGTATTTTTCCTTTTATAGCCAGATCCGATTTACGTAAAACGTGACCGTTGTCGAGGGTAACTGTGTGCTCTGAAGAATCGATGATATCCTTCTTAACCAGATTAAAATAAGGGTCCCTATTTTTCCTGTTAGACACCTTTCTATATAAGTTACCTCCCATTACTGCTTTTCTTTTTCCCAGTGGATCTGAAGTTCGGGTAGTGTCGTCCGGGGTTGTGTGTAGGCGAAAGTCCTAGCTAATGGCAAGTTTTCTTCTGGGTCCGACGTGCTGTCCTTTTCCTCGTCCAAATAGCCATCTTCTGCCCCGTCGTGTAGTTCCCAGTTAGTAGCCCGCTCTTTGGACAATATAGCCTTTTCTTTTTCTAAATGTTCAATATTGGACATAAGATTTTTCCACCTAGTGTTCGCTACTCTATTAAAATGCTTTTCAAACGGAGTACAGCCGATCGCCGTTTGTTTTGAGATTCTCAGATTCCAGATGATTTTCTCGATCGAATCGTTTAGAGATGGTTTGGGTACTTCGAATGACATTGCCAGTAATTTCGATTTAATTGTGTACACTAGTCTTTCCACTAGCCCGTTGGATCTGTGGTCTCCGACAGTGCAGTAAATGATTTCTATATTAAATTTATCGCAGAAGTTTTTGAAATCATGTGAAAGAAAGCATGACCCATGGTCGACTCTAATTTTTCTTGGGAATCTGTGAAGATGACAGTAATCGTTTAGGAATGAAATTACGTTTCTTGTAGAGGTGTTATTGACAATCTTGGCCGATGGAAACTTAGTGTAACGGTCGATGCAAAGAAGAATGTATTTGTTGTTACCCCAGCTAGCATCCAACGGTCCCGCAAAATCCAAATTAATTTCTTCGTTCGCGAATGTCAACGTCGGAAGTTTCGAAATATTATGTGTGCCTAGTAACACTTTAATGTTCTGACCCGCTTTTAAACATTGGGTACATGTTCTCCCGTGATCATAAATATCTCGGTAAATATGTGGCCACCACAAATATTCGGCGAGGGATTTCATCCCGAACTGTCCTGGGTGAGTCTCGTGTAGCATTGAATTAAAAGTTCCCCTGATGGTAGCTGGGACGACTAGTTTATTGTCTAAAAAGAGTAGCTCATCCTTCACGTGTAAATCTTTGGTGTAGCTCTTCATGTAAGTCCCGTGTATGCCCATCGGTCGGTTCCTCTTTATCGTCTCTATCAGATCCCACAGCACCTTGTCTTCTCTAGTCATGATCTGAAGCAATTTCTTCGAACAGTGGTTTTCTGGGCGAATTGAGGAATTCGGTAAACTCAGATCGGCCTTATATCTTCTTAAGAGGTCGGCGTGGTCGGGTGGAAGTCTGTCGTCTCTGAATTTGAGAGCAATATTATGTTCTTCGGGGATGATCAAAAGGGGTTCGTTCACTTTGCCCATTGGGAGTTCTTGTTTTTTTTTGTTAGATGGTATGAAGTGTCTGTTTAGTAGTAAGAAATGTAAAAGGACTTTGTCCGAAAAGGTAATACTTTTAAAATTAAATTTAGAATTATCGACTGGTTGGCAAATTGTAGTACAATTTTCTGTCCGAGAGTGATTATTGAGGCAAATTTTTATCGACTGAGCGATACAAGATATGATAGCAGCAATAATCTTGAGATTGAGTAAAGCTAAAGAGCTATTCAACTGATTCTGACCAATCACGTCGCTTGAATTTTCGTTTCCCGATGGGATTGTATTAACTCGTGAATTAGTATTTACAGCGACCGCTGGTCTATCTACAGAATTTACATAAGTAATTTAGAATCTTTATTAGTCGATAAAATGTTCTGAATTCTGTCGATTGAAGCGACTACAAATTCGTCGTCATGATGGGAAATTGGAAGGGCTTTGCCCGAAGGAAAACTAGATAAAAGGTCCGTAAAGCCCATGTCCTTTCCTGGTAAATTCAAAATTTTAAAATTGAAAGGTAAGAGTCTGTTTACCCAGCGGGTCAATCGGCTGTGCATCGTTTTATTTCCATGATTTGCCGAAAGTGCTGATAGTAACGCTTTGTGGTCAGTTACTATTTAGAATTCTGTTCCGTACAGGTAGTTTCTGAAATGTTATGCAGCCCATACGACTCCCAGCAACTCTAATTCGTTGGTAGAATATTTCATTTCATGGTTGTTAAAAATCTGGATGCAAACGCGATTGTTTTCCACTGGTCGTCCTGTAATTGTTCTAGGGTAGCCCCTAGTCCGCTATGTGAAGCGTCCGTTTTTAGTCTTGTCTTCTCTTTTATATCAAAATGGCTGTTTTCTGCAATATTTACAATTTCCGTTTTTAACTTCTCAAACGCTATTGAATGGCTGGTATCCCATTTGTATAACAATTTTTTGTTAAGAAGAGGTCGAAGAGGAGAGCTTAGCGTGGATAAATTAGGGACGAATTTTACATATTGGTTTATTGAGCCGAAAAATGAGCGAAGTTCAGAAATATTCTTCGGGGTTGGCAAATTTTTTATTGCGTCGGCTTTACCGACCAACGGTCGTACTCCATTGCCTGAGATCTTGAAGCCAAGCCATTCGATGTCAGATTAAAAAAATGCGCATTTCCCCCATTTCACTGCCATGTTGTTCTTATCTAAGATTGATAAAATTTTGTACACTATTGATTTTTGTTCTTCCAGGGATCCACGCGAGGCTACCAGGATGTCGTCTATGTAACAATTTGTAAACGGGATATTTTTCAACCTTGAGTCCATGACCCGTTGGAATTCATTGGGCATGTCTCCTAATCCGTAAATTCCGTTAGAAATCGATACGTTCCTGTCGTTTCGCCGCCTACTATACTAAAATTGCACTGTTTACTTGTTTGATTGCAAAGTTGAAGTTGGCTATAGGCGTTTTTCAGGTCTAAGTTACTAAACCACACTCGCCCGTTGGGTTTTTCTGAAATTTGGAGTGCCACGTTATTGATCAGTTCATGGATATTCGGCATTTGATATTTATTTTTAAAAATTTGATCATTTAAAAGCTTAGAATCAAGTGCCAGTTTTATTGAAGTATCCTTTTTCCGAGTGATTACAATTGGGCTGATGAAGCAATCTTCGTCGCATTTCTCTAATTTTATTATATAACCTTCTTTTTCCATTCTTTTTAACTCTTCGTTCACTGCCGCGAGTAAATGGAGTGGTACTCCTCTCCCTTTGGACTGTATTGGTTTAAAAGGTGTGTGAAAATGGGTTACCTTCCGATCGTTAGGTATTTTCCCCACTCTAGTGAATAAGTTCTTAAACTCGTTTAAAATGTTGTCTGATAAAGAAGGTAAGTTTTTGTACTCACTCTCGAGTGTGGGTTGATTGACCATGCAGATTGGTTGGGGGCATTTCCTCTGCGTTATTTCTATGCCCAGTTTGGGTAAACTGTCGTTCCCCAATATGTTTCGCTCGTGTCCGCCGGTTATGAAGAATGGGGTCTCTTCGCTGATCCACCCATTGGACTGTGTTCTGACAATTATTTTTGCCAAAATATTGATCGTATCGTTGGTGAATCCGCAGTATAGGTCTTTTATTCTTTTCTCCACTGGGTGTATCTTGAGGTTTGGGTATCTTAGTTTAATTTCATGTAGAACATTCTGTTTTAAAAAGCTTACAGGGCTTCCTGAATCTACAGGTATGTTCATATTTACAATCATGTCCCAGCCGATGCCTAGGTTCAGGAGTTTCTTTGTTTCGAGACCATTATTGTCGTAAATAGTTCTGACGCTCAACACCGAGAAGTCGTCATCGTCACTCTGTCCGTACTCATTCCACGCATTTATCACGTCGCACGATTCTTTTTCTTCCATCCACGAGTTTTCCGGAGGTGTGTATGTACAATTCTCAGTATTTACGAAATTATTTGATACATTATTTACAGTTGCCCTTTCGTAAAGGTATTTCCGCATTTCATGCACGAGTTACTCCTTTCGATGTTTAAACTTGGTTCCTTTTTGATATGATTGTGGTTACTAAAAGATTTAAAAGTTGTCCCGTTGGTCGATGACCGTGACATATTTGTCAGTTTCTGGTGGTTAAAATATCCCTTTTCATCGATTAGGGCTTGGTTAAGTGCTTCCGACGGGCTTATGGTAGCTGAAAGTAGCTTCCTCTGGGTGTCTGTGTTCTTCATATTGCAAATGAAGATATCCCTTATCCATTCTGCCTCGTCGGATTCCTTGATGTTGCACGTGCTGGCTAGGTCCGTCAGTGCTCCCCAGAGTTGTTCGTACGACTCACGATCTTTTTGCTTTCGATTTAGTCGTTTATATCTTTCGAACGTAGTATTGGGCGGTTTGTTAAATGCTGCGTCTAGTAGAGTCCAGAACTCAGAGAACGATATTGCTAGAATCTTGACTCTCGGGTTCTTTTGTGTAAAAACTCTTTTTCCTTCGCTCCCTAGGGCTAAAAATAAAATTGATCGCAGTTTCTTGTCCGCCTCCGTTCGTCTCATTCCATTAAATTACCTTTTCTCTTCGTTGATCCGTTTCTCTTCTGCGGATTCGTACTGTTTCATTGTGCTTTTGTTCCTGCTCTCTCTGTTGGCTTTTTCCGCGTCCGACTCGCTGCCTGTTGCTTGTTCCAAAATTGGAATTTGCGTCTCCGGTATCTCTGGTGCATGTAGGCGCTCTAAATCCAAATTTTCTTTCGCAATGATCGCCAATTGGAATTGGTCGCTCCATTGGGTCCAGGCATGCGGTGGCTCTAGAGTGTGATTAGGCCAAAAGGGGGGAATTCCACGCACGTTCGAATCATTTGACTGCGCCATAATAAACTAATCTAATTCTGTGGGTCTATATGTACAAGGTATGCACATAAGCTTAAATGTTAAAACGTTAAAAGGAAGTAGTTGAATTAAGAACGTTAAAAAGGACAACTGAACTTCCGTTCATATCGACCGATGGTCGTAACTAAACTGGTATTAATTAAAATACCGAAGGTCATTAAAACCTACTAAAAACAAATCACAACAAATAGGGTCCTTATACTGTTTTAACGTAGCTCAAAAATAAGGTGGCGGGCCTGAAAATTTTATTATATTTTTGAAAATTTGCCTCCTCCCCTCCACAAAATCTTAGATCCACCCCTGATCACGAGTACGACTGATTTTTCTAAAATCAAAATTTGATATCGCTAAGCTACTATGAGACTTCATTTAAGCATCGCTGCAGCCATTTCGCCATTGAGCTTATGAACGTTTACTGCATGTCGCTTAAGACTCTCTCTTCGGTTGAATTTCTGTTCACACATTTTACAATTGAACTCAATTCCTGAATGATTACTCGTGAAATGTTTCTGAGCAGAATTGTATTTTCCGAACAATTTAGAACATCCTGGAAGAGGACAAATGAAATTTCCATCCATATCTCGTCCGAAGGTCACTGTCCCTAATGAGCCCACCTGTGTTGTTCTAGGAGCAGTCAGCGATGAAGCGGCTGCCATTTTAGGGATCATAGATTTGGCTCCATTGAATGTTTTCGCCTTTAATACAAAAACGATTGTGTTTCTACAGACAGATATGGTCAGGGGCGGATTTAGAGGGGCATACGCCCACTCTCCTTAGGGACTCAACGCCCTCTCCATCCAAAGTGGACCACTCTTTTGGTATTATTTTATGCCACCCCTTTTTGACCGACCAACCCTAAAATTTTTCTGGTGGCGCCTTGGGCGACAATATGTACTAACTTTGAAAGGGAGCGCACGCCAAAAACGATTTTTGAACTGCCTTTTTAAACACTTGCCTAGTTTTTTCAACATAAAGTCTTTATACTATTTAGAAAATCCCCCCACCTCGCGAAAATCCTAGATCCCACCCTGCATAGGTTAACATGTGCCCACCTAAATTTAACTGATAAGTTCTCCTGAAGATACGTTAGGTTACTAGTGTTATTATCACAAAATACCACAATTGATTTTTTTTGGCGAAACTGATAAACTGGTTTTATGAAAAAAGCTTGCTTTTGAACATTATCTGTTGCTTCTACAAAAATGACCAATGGCAAAATTCATTAGAAGAGAAATGAAAAATGAAGGGCTTATTTTATTTAAGAAATACCCTTAATAAACCTATTCAGGGGTGCATTCACAAGAAAATACGATGCCCGCACCTCGACCCCTATATTTTTGATGTCCAACCTACATCAGAACTTTACACAAGCATGTTGATGTTTTCTACAAACTCGATGCAGGATGTCATAGTTAGTCGATATCCCGAAGATACTCACTCCCAAAATTCCGATTAGATGAAACTTAATTACCTTCTTTAGATTAGTATCGATGTTTTGGATTTTCCTTTTCTGACTATTTGTACCAATGTAGCCGTTAATGACTTTGGCAACTAGTACACCAACTTCATCATCGAGAAACAACTGTTCTTTTCTTCTGCCGATTCGCTGTATAGAATACATTTGATCCATGA